AAACATGAAACTTTCAAAAAGTGTCCACACTTTTCGCCACCACTGTATGTAACATAAAAAGCTTCAATTAATCTTTTTATGCTATTTCTTTTCTGTAAATCCTTTTCTTTCCTTTTATTATTCAAATCGAAACATTTTCTCACACTTTTAAATTCATATCTTGTCCTTAAATCTATTTTTGGCTGAAGTATGCATTAAGTAAAAACAAGATATTTCCTCCTTTTGCTCTTTGTGTGAATCGCGCGACCTATTTAATAAACCAATTACAATTACTAAGGTTTCCCTTATTCCCTAAAAAGAAACATTTTACGGATTTACTTTGTAAGATTTTCCCTAACATATAATCGAAGAGCATAACTTTTCAAAGCCCTTTTATAGCTGCTCTCTGTCTAATAATTAATAAATAAATTTTGTACCTTCTTTCCCTGCCTAAACCTGTTTTAATCCTTCCACTCGGCTATAGATATATATATATATATATATAAAAAGTACGAATTGTGCGAAAATGAAATTAATGTACTCAAATATTTCTTGATATAACCTTATTATTTTTTCGCTCAGTTTCAACAAAAAGAAATCTTGGAAATATATCTTCAATGCATCGTTATTAGATGTGATTTTGTAGCAGTAGAAAGCTAAATACTCTCAGTCTGTAGCAGTTCTCAATCTCTCGTTAAACAATCCTTTACTGAAGCACTGCCCTTGCGAATTTAATGACTCGAGCCACTACAACATTTTATCTTCTTCCTTTCAATTTCTTTTTTTTTCCTCATCGTTTACACATCAAACTTAATCAATAATAGACATTACATTTCAGTGCAACTCATATATTTAATGCAGTATAGCCGCTTCTGGCCACTATATTCCACATCCATTCAACCACTGAAGTATCTCATTTTCTTCTTTTTAGATCCCTGTGAAGGTGTAGAATGCCCAGCTTCCCAAGTATGCCAACTAGACAACAACCGCAATCCAATATGTAGATGCAATGCAATATGTTCGCCCGATTTCAGACCAGTCTGTGGTTCTGATGGAAAAACTTATATAAACGAATGTTCCTTAAGAGTAGAATCTTGTAAATCTAGGAGGAGCCTTCGAATTATATTCAGTGGAGAATGTAGTTCAGGTGAGATCAGAACTTTAAAATATTTTTTTTTAAAGATATAAAACTTCGCTATTCTTGCATGTTTTGTTCTGTAGCGTAACAACCACTAAATCTATTCAATTCCTATTCACTAGTATATAACGCTGTTAACTGGGTTCTATCTTTAGGTACTTTTTGATATATGACTGTTGACATTGTCGTTAGCCTTTTCCCCACATTGGTGATCCGGACGTGATCCAAATCACCAATTTGTGCATGCTACTGAATTTGTCAATCGTCATCTATTAAAAGATACGTCCTGATGGGATTGAGCTGACATGTGATATATATTAGTGAATTTGAATTGAATAAGTGTAGTGGTAGCTACGCTACAGTTCAAATAGTAGCGAGCATATTAGGGAAATTAAAAGGACGCTGCTTTGGGAATATGAGTGCATTTAAAAAATGAGTATTAATATTTAATATTCATTCTCTTTGATTTCAGAACGAGTTTTACCGATTTGGGCATAGATTCTGTCAGGCTTCTACATGTTTTGATAGTTTTTTCAACCCTTAACTGTTCTTAATAATAAATAAATATAAGATTAACAAATTAATTATAAATTATTTTGTCAGAGGTATAGATGAGCGGTCCAGGTCTGAAATCAATGATATAATTAAAGAATTGATTTAGTGCAATGGGATACATGCAGGTGACGTAGTTTGGGTATCTTGATCCTCATTGGTTGTTGAAACGTGACATTTGCTTACGTCAGCAATAATTCTTTCCATTCTATTTGAGTAAGCCAAACTCTCCAAGTATCAATTGTCTTAAGTGACACATTCTATATTCTTATACAAATGTTTTTTTTCCACAAATATTTCAATTCTTTCTTTATATTATTTAACACAAAGACAGGCTGGAATCCATGTAGAACATAAACTAATTATGCATCGAATTTTCCAGGTACACAAAACAAAAATATGTCAGGGCTACAATAAAATACAAAGACAAATAACAAATCTACGTTAAGTAAATGACATATTTCAATAAATTGGATGTGCTGTATTGAATTAACTTGGCGTTAGTTAAAATTTTAACTTGTGTAGAGAAACTTAGCTCAAGCGCTGATGTCATTAGTTACATGTGTGGGTATCCGTGTTCTTCTTCTCGAAGAGCAGGTTGGAAATATAGAAACAATTAAATATATATTCATTTATTTAACAGCATGAAGTACATTAAGAAACAATTTGCAATCTCCTCAAAACAAAGTCTAGTCTCGTTTTATTCTAAAAACAATTCGCATGCGACGTTTTTGGATATTGTCGTGTTATGCTTTCCTCGTTTCATCCTATCCCTTGCTTTTGTCAGTCTCGTTAGATTTTATTTTTTAACGTCCTGGCGTATTTATCGTTTTGCAGTTCATTTTGTTTTGCTAATTTTTATCACTATTTTACTCGGTTAATAATATTGTATGCACATAAAAAAGGCTAAAAGTTGTAAGATCAATTCTGAAGCATTTTTTGACGAAATATCCCTATAATTTATTTAATTTTAATTTTTTTTTGTATTCATTATTTTTCAGTATATTTTTAAACTTTAGCTTTTATTTTATTTTAACCGCACTCCTATTTTTTTTTCACTACTTGCTTTGTTTTGCTTTTTTTTTCATTTGCTTTATTCTTTGTGATTTAGATTTCTTCTATTTTTCTTTTATTTTACGGCAAGTATCCAAATCGAATTGAAATATTTCATCTCATTAATTTTGTTTACAATTCATTTTTCATAATCCCTTTGAGAAGTGACTGTACGTCGCCGTTTGAAAAGCAGTTCCAAACATGTTTTCTTTAAAATTGAAAAGAAATTAAAATTTATTCTTGATACAATTAATACGCTCGATGCTGTAATAATAACAGAGAGCATTAGAACGTGCAGGCTCTTAAAATCATTAAAAAGTCCTTAGTTCATAAAACCTTTTTAAAGGTCCTTAAAAGGCACATTTTGTTTCTTTGATTCTTATCTTTCTCCTTCCTCCACTGTTCTAAAAATATCATCAAAGCCGATGCATGTTAATAGTTAATTTTTTTAAGATTTAAGAACGCATTCTAAAAGAAATTAACACTATTTTGTAAATACTAATTTATAATTGCTTGAATTTTTCAATCAATAAGTTAATTACAATCAGAGTTAATACAAATTAATTGAACCATTTTAAAATTCGTATTAGTTAAAAGTATTTTCGAAAAAAATAGTATAATTTGTGGATGTAGAAGAAACATCCTTTAAATACGCGTTTCGAGGTATAACTAATTAATAAAGAAATTTAATAAAGAAATCAATGCATTAAATATATTTTAATAAAGAATTAATCCCACTTACAGGCATTAAAGATTTCGAAAAATAAAATAATCCGACATAAGTTATAAGACATTTTGTTTTATTCGTAAGTTTAAAATATAATATTTAGTGTACATGATTTCAAATTATTTTAGAATAAATTTCAATGTTTCTTTCAAGACAAAAATTATTTTAAGAGATTAAAGATAATGGAAGTAAATAATTTTAATCCGATATTCGTGTACATTGTTTATGAGAAGTAGTTTTTAAGGCAGCAAAAATTTTAATTATGCATTTATCATTTATAATCACTTAGAATGTGTCTTATAGGGAAGAGAGATTAAATTATATATTATTATATTATCGAGAAGAAAATGTATTTATAATATTTTTTCATTGATATATATAGAGTAACGATTGTTTTTTTATATTATTATTTACAATGTTTACAAAGTATAGATTTATTTTTCAATAAGGAATTAATGTTTAAAAATTAAAAAAAGATGTTTCATAATACAACGTTTTACCTGTTTTTTATTTTAAGAACTTTAGTCAATTTTATTTTAATTTTCAAAAAAGATTTTATCTAAACAAACACTTTAGCGCATTCCGGCTTAAATTATTTCGAATAAGATATTAGAAAATTTAATAATTAATTGCAGTTCTACAAGTAAAATTATTATTTTAGGAACGTATTTTTCAGATTAAATACAATTATTTGTAAATACAAAAACTATCTAAAATAAAGGAATAAAGCGAAATTACTGATTCATATTTATCGATTACTAATATATATTACTTAATCGTATTTATCGATCACTTAATAAAACTTATAGCCGATAATAAACTTAATAAATTATGTTTTTACAGCATTTCGAGCTACGTACATTTAAAACCACCATATTTATGAAAAGAAATTAATTTGTATAGACATAACGTTGTTCTTTTACTGTTCATAAATCCTCTTTCGCCAATCAACACCAGAACAGGTTTTTAATTAAACACTTATCTAATTGCAGTGCAATTTCTTCGCTTACACAGATATCTTACAGAAATAGCTAAAAATCTATTCCAATCCTTCCACAAATCCGGTATTCTGTTTAAATTTTCTACTACTGTATTTCAACTTTGCTTCATTTCATTCCGGTTTTTCGTTTGAAATTGTTCCAAAAAAGGCTTTTTAAGAAAGATTCCAAATTTTTCAAATCCACTTTCTAAATTATTTTAATTTCCCAAAACTTCAAAAGCTCAAAAATAAATTACATAACATTTTTCAAAGTGTGCTCCAACCTACTTTAAATAAATTTAATTCACTTCCGTAGCTAAGTTTAAAAAAATCATCATCTTAGATAACGTAAAATTAATGCTACAAAATAAAAACTACATCTCCCTAGAACTACAAACTACAGCTTAAACTTTTATGCATATAAAATTTATAAAACGGCATAAGAAATTATTATCAGTGTTATTTCATGCTAATTGGAAATAGGTATACAATATTTGCATTCTGAAAAGGGCAGAGCGTCTTACAAAAAATGAAACAAATGTATACTTTTGACTGACTGCTATAATTCTAAAGAATAAATTTAATTCTTTTTAAAGGCAAACTGTGTTGTTTTCGGCAGTGTTAAAAATTATTTCTTCCTTTCATCTTGCAGATTGCTTTTTCCAACTGTGAAAAAACATCAAAATAATTTAAAGGAATGTAAGACTAAAGTTCATTTGTCTCCCTTATGCAGGAGAAATTCATATCTTTTATTAAAAACATTTTAAATAAAATTACATTAAATAAAAATATATTAAACAAATATATATTAAATAAAGATGTTCCTTGGTTGTTAACTAAACAAACATCATTAATAAAGTTACGGAAAAAAGCATTTCCATTTTAGAACTTTTTTATTCGATTTATTATCTTGAACTCAAGTTAGCAGCAAGCACAACTTTTAAACTTGTATTCAAGAAAGAAAGGACATGCATTACAATTAACAAAAAAGCACCAATAGTTTTAAAGCAAAATGGGGTAATAAGACCTTTTTAGACAAACTTATGTCTAACTTTTATAGATAATAATAAGGCATTTTGATTACTTTACCAAATAAGAACATTTATGCTTAATAATATAAAAACTTTATTTGCTTCAAAAAATATATAAAAGTGTTAAAAGTCGTCATTTTTCGAGAGCTCAAATATAGGTATTCATTCTCAAGATTTACCAGATGTGAATGAATAAGGCAAAAGAGATTTGAAACACAAGGTGTAAAGCTGTCAATGAAACAAATATTGAATAAAGGGGGAAATGACATTAACTTGTAAATTTATGGTAGGTGAAAGGGAAAAATAAAATAAAGAAAATCCAGATTTCCGGAACATTAGAATGATTCATCTTTATCCTAAAATTTTCTTTCGTCAATATGAATGCTGGTTCACTTGATAACGTCATGAGTCACTCACCACTTCTTTATAACAGGTTGAAATGCAGCCTGCCCCTAATTTGCCCGGTTTTTCTAATTTTTCTTTTTTAAGCTTTATTTATTTTTCGTTAGCTAATTAAAAATTTCTGTTTCCCTCTCTGCGCCGGTGGTATTTCAAATTTTGATTTTCATCCATATTTATTTTCACATTTTTCGTTGGAAACATAATGTTTTCTCTTATTAATACTGAGTTTTGAGAATGGGTACTAATTTTTAATTGCTCGAAACCAGTGCTTTTATTACCACCATCATACTTTTTGAAGCAAAAGAAGTTTTTTATACTATCTAGTACGTTAGTTTAAGTACGTCTTGAGGTTATTCACTTAAGAACTTTTATGGTTTAGAGAGAAGTATATACGATTTTTGAAATCTAGAAATTAACTATCCAAGTCAAAACTCTTGATCGTCCCATCAAAGAATTTTGATGATTTATGCTGGTTTCAGTGCGATTCATGATGGTCCAACATTATTTGATGGTCGCCATCATTCAACATTTTCCATTACGTGTTCATGTTTTTTGATATGCCAACCAACTACCATCATTCCGTGAGGGAAAATGCTACTTTAAAACCATCAAGAGAAGTTTGACTCTCATGGACCAACAATCCATGATGATCCGTGATGGTGGTTCCAATCTTTGATGGTCCAATAGGAATTCCTATTGGTTCTCAAGAATATACCATCAGAACAATTTTTGCTTTTTTTATGTTGAATCATCACATGAATCAGTCCGAATTCCTACATTGTAATGATTGTTGTTCATGATCGTTCCAACATTTGATTTCTAAGATACTATGATAAAAATTCGCGATGGTTCAACATGAACAAACCATCAAGACAGTTGCTATTCTTATGTTGAACCATCATAAATCAGTCCGAATTCCTACATTGTGGTAATAATTACTTATGTTGGTTATTATCAAAAAATATAATGGTTCATGATAAAATTATAAATGATTACCATCAAGGTAATGTTGTTCTATCAGTCAAAAACCATAAAAATTTTTGACTTGTATATCCTTGTTTTTGGCAAGCTTGGAGCTTAAGAAAATTCTGACCATTAGAGGTCTTTATTACCCTATTGACATATTTATTGCATGCCATGCAGTAGTTAGATGACATGTAGAAACGTTAATCCTAAGAATTATCCTAGCTGTATTGTAGCATTTCGCATGTTAACTCAAGGTGCCAATCCGTGTGAAAACCTTCAGTGCGGTCCAGGTCAAGAATGTGATATTGATAGGTACGGAATAGCTACTTGCCAGTGTCCGCCAAATTGCGAGCCAGTCATGCGACCAGTGTGTGGGGATGACGGGAAGACCTACTACAATGAGTGTGAGATGAGGAGGAGTGGATGTGAGGTGCAGAGGTTACTGACTGCTGCCTACAGAGGAGCTTGTGGTAAGTTTCCAATTCATCATTTTTCTCCTGAAAGTCACCAACAGTCCCTTAACTTGTGCGCTCGAGTTAATTCGAGCGACGGTGTATTTTAAGCTGCTATAATTTTTCACACTCGAATATAATCGAGAATTGGAAATAACAATGTGAAAGCTAAGAACAAAAATCGTTTCATTGATATTTATCATTTACATAAGCTTGTAAGCTATAACAATTATTTATTCGAATAAGACACACAGAGAAACCAACTTTCTCCGGACAGCAAATATATATTTTAAAGTGGTAGTTTATCAATTGTGATTCTTGTTTTAATAAATTCAATTTAGTAGATTTTTATCCACCACTATTTCAAAACAATTCGTCGGCTTATAGAATTCACCACTTTATAGTACATATGTCATGTCTATACCTTTTAAAATGCAAGCAAAAATAGTCAAATATTTTCAAAATTTACTTTGTAGCTATTTACCGTTTTTTTATTTTATTGTTATTTTGGAGTGTCCGGAGCAGTATGCATTTCTGAATATAACCTTTTTCCATGGAACAAAAGCGCAGAATATCAAAATTGTCCACCAAAAGAAAAGACAATGTTGTAAAGTGTGTTTTTTTAAATAAAAAGAAAGATTTTTTTTTCATAAAATCTGTGCGTTAAGGGGTTAACTAAAGGGTGTCCCAAAAATATAGCAAGATTTGAATTAAATAGAAAACACAGTTTTTGGTAAGCATTGGTAATATTGTATTGTTACTTTTTCATTGAAACATAAAGTACATAGGATTGGGTTATATATGGAATAACACATCGGGCAAATTTCCTCCACGGCTTTGCTGGCACATACGCACTCTTTTGTCGTAATTTTTCATGAGCATTTTTCTGTATAATTGTGGCTGAATTTCGTTGATGCAGCCTTTAATTTTCTCTTGCAATGCACGAGTGGTTGTGGGTTCGTTGACATATACCTTTGAATTCAAATAACCCCATAAGAAGAAATATAGTGGTGTTAAATCGCACGATCTAGGGGGCGAATTATGCAGTAATGGGGGTCTTATGCAGTAATTGAATTGTTTCACTTTCTGTATGGCATGTGGCACTGCCTTGAAGGCTCCATTTTTACTAACCCTAAACTCTCAGCTGTGAAATTGCTCTTTTGTCAAGGTTGCCAACCATTTACTGCAGAAATTGTTTAAAATTCAAATCTTGCGTTAATTTTGGGACACCCGTTACAATGCGAGGCTTTTGGTCTGAATAAGGAAAAGTATCACAGTCACAAAATCCTCCCATAACAAATCAATACCTCTGAAGTTTTTGAATTGGAGATGGGTCGTTCTCTGGTTCAGGTCAGAATAACGATCTGTGGATAAATGAATGGAGCATGTTCGGGTCGTCCCTGAAAAACGGGTTGTGACGTGTGCGTGGCTGAAGTCGTCTTCTTGGCCATAGATGGCGCCACTGGAAAAACTGTCTTAGAAATGTGATTCCTGATTCGCCATTGCCAATCAGGAAGCTTGATTTCAAGCAGGCTTTCTGATTTGCAGTGGCATAAGTAACAACAACAATATTGTCTATTGTTCAGAATCATTCAAATCAAGTTGTAGCATTAGAGAAAAAGTGTTTTGAAATTATTCTTTATTAAATGGCATTAACAAAAGCATTGCCTAAATGTATTTATGTATTGCGAATTTTTAAATAATTCTAAACAAATGCATGCAGGGTAGGAAAACTGGGGACATACGAGTGCTTGATAAGAATGTAATTCGATTATTTGGGTGTTTTTTTTGTAAAGAGCTTTGTAAAATGCTGCCTTCGAGCCAAAATAAGTAAAACTGGGAAGTATTCTATTTATTCTATATCTATAATCAAGCAACAGCCATTTGTTTTTAAAATTAAAACCATAGTTAAGAGATTAAACTTTTTTTAATTACGTTAAATATGATTCAAAAGATAAAATACACATTTTATATCCTGGTTTAATATTTGACATGTACAGTGTTATAAATTCGGTTTAGACGTTTTTTGGTTCAGAAACATTTGAACCAACGAAGCCATGAGAATTGTTATCATTGTATGCCTCCCCGATATAAAGTGATCTGTTTCATGTTCCTATTTTTATAAAATGCTTAATTGAAAACCAAAACGAATTAAGAGGTCAAACTTATTATAAATTTTGTAAAAGAAACGGTAACTGACAGTTTTTCCCTGTGCCAGTGAAAGAATAAAAGGATAAAATCCTTTAAGAAACTTTAATTATTGGAAATGTAATAAAAAGTGCAATGAACTATATTTATTTATTATTTTAAGCATTAAAAACAGTGTAGTTCTGTTTTATTTATTATTAAAACTAAATAAATATATATCATTTTAGATTTTATTACAGCATTTTCGCAAGTTTAACTTTTCTTATTAACTTGCCTTCGTACAATTCGGGGAGATTTCTATATTGTGATTTGTGGCGTAATTATCTCCAAGTCTTGGCAACTTCCGGGAAAAACTATAAAAGAAAAACATCACAGATAAGAACCAACTTGAAAGTTATAACTCGTAGCCACCCCCGGGCAAACTCTACATGTTTTTTTTTTAAATTGCAAGTTTAAAATCTATTTGGCACCTTGGGGATTGTAGGTGGCGCGACCCATCAGGACACGTAAATATCCCCTGCAATTTTCTATTGTTTTCACTTTTAAAAAAATACCGTTATGCCTTGTAAATATCAAAGTACAACGTGTGCGTAGAAACGTCGGAAGCTCTTTTAATTAACCAGTTGATATTTTTGAAGCATATTTTAAACTAGAGACCCTGCTCTGCACGGATTCCTCTACTTCATAAGTAAACACTTCAGCAATTCGTTTCCAGCACATTCTAAAATAAAATTTCATTTCTAAATCAAACTTACCTAAAATATATAAAATGAAAAATAAATAATAAATCATTTAAAACAGTATTTGTCTGCGAATGCGTATACGGGTGTAATACGTGGAACGATTTATTTCCTAACAAATTTCCAGTATTTGCCATTTCGAAAAATATTTGCAAGCGTGTCAAATTTATCCTTGTTAGATATTCAAAATAAACGCTTGGGATTGGTGGAGTCATGACACATGACCCATTGGCATTTTCTTGTTAGCAAACTTAAGTTCTTCGTAGAAATCTAATAGTAAACAAAAGGAACTTCACCGCCAGAGACCAAACACAGCGCCAATATGTATTGGTATTCTCTAGCGGAATTCGACAAATATTATTCTTATAATTAGGGACCATATAAAATATTCGGGTTACGAGACTCATTCTTCTATTGTTTAGTAAGAAATATAATGAAATATTCTTAAAGCTGATTGTCTCCATTTTTACCCAGATTTTTTGTCAACATTAATTCGATTTCGTATATGGAAATAAAAAATCTTATGCACAAAATTTTAACTATTTTTCAATCAAATAGAACGCTTAAATTTTTAATGAAGTTCAGAACCCGATTGAGCTCTTATCGTTTTTTCGGCCGTTTATATTGTTTTTCGATCTGTTTTCCTGCCGTAACAGCTCAGATAACTTTAGGAGTACTAATTTAGTAACGTATTCTACCTATGCTACCATGTGTAACGTGATTGCTTGGTTTATCTGACATAACGAATAAAAAAAAATTTAAATATTAAAGAGCGGACAATAAACTCTTTTTTTTTACTGAGAGCTAACAATAATCGTTGATGTTATTTTCAGAATATTTTTTTTTAAAAATTGTTGTCTGCAATTTTATTTATACCTATGGCTAGTTCTTAATCAGTAAAAAAATTGTATTTTTCAAACGTTTCGCCTGAACGATCTTATTGAAACTTTGAACACATTTTGGGGTTTAGATTTCCCCCTTCATACCACAGTCCGAATTTCAAAATGTTTTCACATACAGTTCCAAAGCTGTCAGAAAGGCACAAGACGAGCCTCTTCATTTTGATATCATAGATTTTATTACGCAAAAAAATTTCAATTCTCAATTTCTTTAGCCTTTAACAATAATGTTTAAGTAGTAGCTACACGTGCATATTCTGAATTTGGAAGACTGTGCGCATTAAAAGGCATTCAAATATGCCTTTGAAATTAGTTTTTTTTTTCATGTGTTATATACCATTTTTGAAGAAAATCTAATTGTCTATTGTTTTTTGAAATTACATACATTTGTGTGTTTAATTTAGGTTTATAAATCTTTTTCAAATAGAAGGACAGATAGCACAATACAGAGAAAGACAGCACGAAGATACATTCAGGGTTCGAACCAGCTATCTCCACGCTTTGCACAGCGTTTAGCGGGTGATACCGCTCGGCAAGGGAGGCCCCGAATATCGTACCAGTAATTTAAAAATGCACATCTCAGTGTTTACTCGTCTCCATTGGAAGCGCGTCAGTCTCATAAGCAACCAAACACTATTTTTGAGCCACGAAGTCTTAGAGGATAGTGTTCGCCTTTCAATGAGCTGAATCGGGTTCGAATCCCTGCTATAGAGCGGCGATACGAATTCCTCATCCGCCTAGCACCGACAACAGTGCTAACGTGAAATATCCTCTGTATTAGACGGATCATGGGTTAGAGTCCCTTAGCCGTCAGGCTAATCTTGGGAGATTCTCGTTGTCCTCCTCTTCATGTAACTCAAATGCGGGTGGGTTCCATCAAAAAGTTCTCCACGAAGACAAAAATCCCCCCCTACTTGATCCAGGAGTTCGCTTGTCTTCTGAAATGGGTTTAAAATTACAAGGCTACAGGTATCCAAGGCATCTTGGGTAACAGCGCGATTCAAACCCGCTACCTCTACTCTTTGCTCGATACCGCTCGGCAAGGAAGGCAACAAAATGATTTTAAAATTGAACAAAACTGCCGGCATTTTCACTTCCTATGTAACAAAAGATTTAAAAAATTCAAATTGAAGACACATTTTAACAGTGATGCCAAGTGAAAGTTCCAAAAAATAATTAAGGTTGATGAGAGTTTTCCTATAAATCATCAAATATGAAATAATCCATAATACATTTAAAAACAGTGCTCTATAACTTCGACAATTATAAATTATCTTTTACTTATATTTAGAAAAGATAGTATTTAGAATACTCCTTGATAAAGCTTCTAATGGTTTACAAGCCTACATAAGAGAATTCGGATAAAAATAAATACAAGCAGAATAGCACTCCAGTAATTAATTCCCGTTGATTGATTGAGTTAGCCTACACATGTTTCTGAATCAATTATACTATAGAGGAATGAGGATATTCTATTCTATCCCTAATCAATAAAATACAAATCGTTAACATTGCATTTAGAAAGGCCACTTCAACGAAAAAGTCAACTTTTTTTTATACAATAAGGAAAAATGTAATTGTAAAATTATATACAAATTTAAAATATTTGGTGATATTAAAGCGTCTTATATAGATTTGTGTGCTTTGGAATCAAGAATTAAAATTTCAAAATGAACTACATATTTCGTCAACAGATGGCATTAATTATTTAAAACGCTATATATTTCTGTTGATTTCTGCTGTTTTTTAGCCCATTTAAATTGAAATATATATATGCACGGAAGTCTATTATCGTTGCTTTCAAAATACACTGTGTTGCAGTAAATAATGGTTATTTTGAAAATATCGTTAGATATATTTTTTATTTAATTTGCAGCTCCATTTATTGATATTCCATGTAATTTATTCTATTTCTTGATTATATAATAAAACTTGGTTATAAAATTATTGTTTATCTAAGCGGAACGCAGTAAACACCTTCTATTTTCCTTTAATACATCACTCACATCGTAGTTTGTTGTTGGAACACCTTGAAACAGCCCTTAGTAAGGCTCAGATTATGTAAATAAATTAAACCTAATTTTTTAAAGTAAAAACGAAAAATTTAGTTTGTTATTCAAGCTAAAACCGTGGTTCAGTGATGCTCTAGAGCTTCATGGAATAATCTCAAGATTTTAGAGATCATTTCTTCTTATTTTTCTGAAAAAAAGAACAATAATAATAATAAATAAGTAAAAGTAATGATTTTGTAAACCTCTAATTGATTGTTTTGGTATATTTCTTATAAGACTTTTCAAAACAGAATAACTAATCCTAAGCATTTTATTTCATAACCGCCAATAGAATATTAGAATAGAATATTATTACTACACAATAGAATATTAGCGACGGTAGGGGAAACATCCCTGAGGATGATCCAAAGTCATGCAATCGCAATTTTCAGCATCTGCAGAGGGGATAGCTCTCCCTCTTTGGTAGCTCGATGATCTGCACTCGAAGTCAAGCACTTTACAGGTAGAGCAGTTTAACGAGGACCGATACCGCACACTCTCGGTTCCTACGCATTCTGATCAAAGTGGTCACCCACCCGCTTACTGACCGCAGCCAGTGATGCTTGACTTTGTGTTCAACTGGAAACCGTGTCTTTAAAATCAGTCCACTGCGGGACAACCCTTTCTGGGAAATCGGTTATCAGACATTGCCTGATATTAATCTTAAGATTGTTGGATTCAACGAATTAGAGTATACTCCGATCTATTTTGTGATTGATCTAAGAGTTATACTTGAGCATGATGGTAAAGGGTTTTATTTTATACTGTGTTATTTACATCCAAATTGACCCATAATATTTCAAAATTTAGTTTAGGAAATATAATATTATGGTTCAACTAAGCAGCAAATGAATGTTGCAGGAAATTGTAACGAGAAAGTTTCTTAATATCACTTCATAAGATACGAAGTACTCCTTGCTCTCTTAAACTATCTTTCAAAATGTATTATGTATTAATATGTTCCAAAAGACCCACTAGGCACACTTTATTCTCTAAATAATTTCTCCTGGGCAACCAGAACTCTCTTTACAAATGCTTGTCCCTGCAAACATTACTCAAATACCTGATAAATAACCCTTTCTGGGAAATCGGTTATCAGACGTTGCCTGATATTAATCTTAAGATTGTTGGATTCAAAGGATGAGAGAAAACTCGGATCGATTTGGTGATCGATCTTTTAGGAGTTCTCCTTTTAATGATGTGATACTGGCGGCATCTCGTATTGATCACACATCCAATTACTCACACTGTTTTGGTAATGAATTAAGGGGCTGTCGCCAGTATAGCCAGCACCATTCCCAAAGATATTGACGAATATATTCGGGATGAGCAAACCTCGTTAATTATTCTAAAGTTAAGACTTTGAATTAAAGGAATTAAAAGCGTCACTTGATTAACATTATTTGTTTATTTAAGTTGAGGAATTAGAAAGTTCACGAAACGATGATTTCTGAAATTTATTAGATTTGGGTCAGGATTTTAAAGAAAAAGATATTAATTTTATTTTTAAAAAAGAAGCTTCAGGGAAAATTTTCGCAATCTAAAATGAAAGGAGTTAAATTAGAGCAAATGTATACAATACAGTGAGACGCAGAAACTTTTTTATAAAATCTAAAATAAAGGGAATTGAATTAGTGAAAATCAATATAATACAGTGTGACGCGGAAGATTTTTTATAAAAGTTTTTATAAAATCTAAAATGAAGGGAGTAAGATTGGAGCAAATGAATATAATACAGTGTGACGAAGAAGATTTTTTATAAAAGTTTTTATAAAATCTAAAATGAATGGAGTAAGATTAGAGCAAATGAATATAATACAGTGTGACGCAGAAGGATATAAAATATATAACGGCTATAAAAAGGAAAAAAAAAATTTAAAAAAATGCGAAGTCACAAAATCACTCTAATTAAATAAATATTACTCAAAAATGCACGGCATAATATTTTACGGTAAAAATGCATTTTGCGTATGATGCGTCCTAAGTGCTATTACTTTATACAGTAATTTGATTCGGTATTTTTTACAGTTCATATAAACCTAGTTAACATTGCTATTCCTGTAAATTTTTGGATATAGCCGATAGTAAGAACAGGTTATGATGTACGCTTTGTGACAGAAGTCTTAAGCTCTGCATAAAGTCCCCAAGCATATTTACCAAAATTGGGAAACATTTTGCTTCATAAAAATCTCCCTAATTGTATGTTTCTTTTATTATTATTCTGTTACATTTAATTTGCATTTTAAGCCAAACTATCTAACCTATTAAAAATTAAGATTCTGCTACTATGCTTACTTGAATAAATTATAAAAAATCTTTTCCTGTTTTTTTTTTCTAAATGTGTGGAGTTGATTGATAATTTGGTTTCACACTAATGTTAAACAGCAGGCAACAGTAATATATATTTTTTAATATTACTTGCGTATGTACTTACTTATATTACTTATATTACGTACTTATATTAAAAATTTAATTAACAGGATTGGAAAAAATGCCTCTGAATTTAAGCGGATGAGGGATTCCGCTTAGCCTATTTAAACACACATATGATAACGGTGTTGATACTTTTCTTCCACATTAATACGATTTAATTAAACAAACGGCTGCATATTGAATTGCAAATGCATCAAATAAGAATCGCATAAATAAATTTCAGAGTTTATTATCAAATTTACGTAAAATTATAAATTTAAAATGTTTTTTTACTTTTAACTGAAACATGAATTCAGTTGCAACAAACGCATTAGTAAAATTTGTAGAGAAGATTGGATCATTATTTTAAATTAATTTGATGGAATGGTGGAATTTTAAAATTAATTTGATGGAATGATTGAATTTTAAATTTAATTTAAAGAAATAAAAATACGGAAATGAATAAGCCATCAGCCATAAAGAAAAACTTATGTTATAAGAAAACGTTATGATAAGTTTGCGAATGCGTATTCGATCATCTTAAATGTGAATACCGAATTTTCAGTTTACGCTTTTAATTTTACGAATGTGTCCTTAGATGGGCAGACTCATAAATTGTAAAAAAAGAAAATGTAAAATCAATTTTTTTTTCCACAGATCTCTTCCTAAGTCCTTTTTTTTTATTATTTTCCGAAGGTGCTATTGGAACGTGTTTTGAACATGAATGTGAGAATGGAGCTTTATGTTTTATGAGAAACCGCAAACCTTATTGTGCCTGTGTTGATTGCGCTGAAGACTTTGATCCAGTGTGTGGGACTGACGGCATTTCTTACATCAATGAATGCAAACTGTTCCGAGAGGCTTGCGAACAAATGAAAAAGATAGCAGTCGCTTACCAAGGACTTTGCAGTAAGTGAATTTTTGAATCATACCCAACATATCTTTTAAAAATAATTTCAGCATTTTGTATAAAAGCTCCCAGCAACTGATCAAACAAAGTTAATCGAAAGCGTTTAAGAGCATAGGACCCACATTTGTTTCTGCAAACATAATGAAATTTCCAAATAACATTTTTAAATAAATAATGATTTTTCAAGAGTAAACAAAATAGGTCAAACTTTTATAGCTTTAGAGAGATTTGACCTACCACGAGGAGGCCACTCTCATAGGGTTTAAAAGAGTTGTAAGAACTTCTTCTATAATAATTGTTATAGCTAATGACTGTGTCTTATGGAATATTTAATGCTAAGCGGAATTGGTATCAACCAGCCATCAGTGGGATTCGAACCCGGTTCATCTCATTGGAGGGCGAACGATCTATTCCCTGAGCCATCACAGCTCTAAATGATTTGTTGTAGTATAATGACAATTTTAGAAAAAAAATAGGAGAATAGTTCTTATATAGGAAAGTAGTTAATAGTTCTTACTTTTCCGGTTGAAAATATTCCAAATAATCGCACAAACTGCAATAAGTATTTAATTATTAAAAGGCATGACCAGAAATGCCTGATCTCTTGAGTAGAAAAGTAGAATTCATTAAAAGACGAAAGGTAAGTTCTGTTTACAAACTGTTTTGATTGAAAAGCAGTTATGAAGGATTTCGACATAAAAGCAATCATTCCTTTGGTCGTTTTTTCCATTTGAGAATCACATTAGGGAGAACACAAAACAATTGAAATGGAAAAATAAAATTTAGAACTTCAGACACGATGTGGGAAAATTGAAGTGGTTGACATCGTAAACCACTCAACTCAGCTTGAAATAATATGAAACCATTTTCTTCCTTCTGCGATTCGACTGCCTCCGAATTTAATATTTGATTCTTTCTGAATCTGAAACGTGACCTAAATTCTCCCAATTTTTGCCTTATTGAGGTTTAAAAAAAGAAGATTCTGTTACTAAAAATACTGTCTGAGCCATTTTTTTCATTTCAATATTGAACCTTAAAAATGTATCCAAAGTTTTTAAGCTACATCAAAATATGGACTTCCCTACCTAATTTTAACTGGTTTATTGTACTATAATAAAGACTTTATCTTAAATTATAGTTCATTTAAAAAATATAAAGTACTTTATCATTTACGAAATAGATTTGTCTAAAAAAGTATTTATTCCAAAAAAGTGAAAACAGCGTAAACGTCAAAAAAAAAAAATTATAATTAACTTTCTTCACCTTGAAACAATGTCCGCGATCAAGCTTGTATCAACCTTAAATATGGTTCTCAACTTAGGTGTGCATACCCTGGAGGGCGTAGAACAATTTTTACTTAAGCGGGAATTTTTCATGAATAAAGAATATCTTGAAACTATCTGTACCTCAAATAAATTTAGCCTGTATTTAACTCTTAGGTATGGTGTGATATAAAATTTGCTTATGAAATTATTTACATTTCCAGTCAGCTTTTGTTTCAAATTGCGATTTTTTCTACTTGCATTGACCATGTTTGTTAGGGGGGAGGCGTGAACTTATATAAATGTTTATAGTGGGGTGCAGAACAGGAAGAGAAGAAGCACCCCTGTCCTAAGTTCATCCGCCTCATCGTACTCTTTAAACTTCATATTACGCGATGTTAAAGTGCACGATAAGTTCATTGAAATAAACACGATAATAAGTTTAATTTGAATGAAAACATGGTTCAATTACAAACCTCATTGAAAACTTGATTCAGTTTCACCTTATTGTCTTTCAAGATAGCGATATTAGGGTTTATCATTTGTTTAGAATGTATATTATTGAAGATTCTAATAGAGCACTGATTTTTTTTTTTACATATTTCAGGGTGTTGTTTAGAAATAAATTTGAATTCAATAATTCACTTACAAAATAGAAATTTATGTGAAATCAAATGATTTTATATTTTGCAAAATCCTATTGTTCTAATTAAAGATTGCAGAATCCTCAAGTTTCTTTAATCAGCTTCCAGTCCTTATGTTTGTTTGTTTTCCGTCGCTTTTTCATCTGGCATTAAATTCAAGTACCTTTTAATTTTTTTTACCCTTATCATAAAGATTTTACTTGAATTGGGCATGGTATAGCAGCACAGGTTTTTGCAAAATTCTCTTTTATTTTTGCATAAGATTTATCATTACGTCTGAACATTTACATTAATTCATCCTTATTATAGTTCGAAACTCAGTGAAACTGTTTACAAAGACAATATGCATTGAGGATCAATTCATATGCATTATGCATTTAACTAGTTACAAATTTCCTTAATATGATTTGTTTAATTTTTTCTTCTGTGAAACATTTATCAGTGACAGTTCTTTCTTCCAAGAGCGGCTAATTTATTTAGAAATTTTGACTCTGGTATACTAACTTTCGCAATATACTTTTACTTCTGTAAACTTATCTAAAGACGCTTGGTGTTTGAGCGGTAGAGCTTCGCGCTGTCGTGCCAAAGGTCCCTGGTTCGATCCTCGGGCCGGGCAAGGTTGACTCAGCCTTTCATCCCTTCAGTGGGTCGATAAATGAGTAATAAGCATGCTTGGGAACTAAACACTGGGGGTTTCGCGTTCGGCTGACCGCCTAACCGAAACATCTGCTCCTGCACCCCAGAGTCCAAAGGTCAAGAAAACTCAGATGGGCACAGTAGACCTTGGCCCTCTGTGGGCGGTCGAGCCGCTGAGTTTAGTTTAGTGAACTTACCTAAAACAACATTTTTTCAGCTTTAGCTTGGAGCTCTGTAGACAGGACATGTTTACTTCTGTGCATTTACGTAGAGAACTTTTTCAGTTACCGTGTTCTATGTAAAAGACAGCAACCACCTTTGCGTTTGTTTTCTTAATGCTTGGGAACTGTACTGACTGTTTATCGCTTAGTTATTTCGCTTCATAAATGTCATTATATTTTTGAGTTTACGACTATCAATGTTCAACTCCGTATCCTTGTCATTTTGAACCCAATCCAGAAGACAAGTGTACTCCTGGATGAAGCATTGGGAGAAATTTTGCCTTCGTGGAGGACTTTTTGATGGAACTATCCGCATTTGCGTTACATGGAGAGGAAAACCACGAAAACCTAACGTGGGTAGCCAAACGGCAAATAGATTCTAACCCATGATCCGTCTACCACTGAGAATATTTTACATGCTGTGGTCGGTGTAAGCTGGATGCGGTATCGACCAGCGATTGCTGGGATTCAAACTCGGTTCACCTCATTGGAGGGCGAGCGCTCTATCCCCTGAGCCATCACTACCGCTTAGTTAACGATGTAAACGTTTCATCTTTACAACTGGACACCATCATTTACAATTCATGTTCATATATTGTGTTCCAAATTTTATATTTCTGGCCTATAAGGCAAGCAACAACTGTAATTTATGTTAGTGAACATTCTTTAACTATAACTTGGAGTTCTCTAAACAGCACATCTTTGCATCTGTACATTTACATCCTTACATCTGGGGTTGATTCATTTGAAGTCTTCCTTTGTTCATCACAATCCATTTGTTTTCTTGTACTGATAAGACACAGATGTGCATTTCGAGATTTCAGTATTCCCTGGACATTTGTACAATTTAATTATCTTTAATTTAATCTTTATTTATTATTTATCTTTATCTTCAATTTAATTTTTATATAAATTTTATTTAATTATCTTTAATTTAATCTTTATATAAATTTTATTTAATTATCTTTAATTTAATACTTAATTTAAATAACCCCATCCCACCCCTATCTGGGCGGGGTGGGGTTAAATTAAACTTAACGAAATTTATTTGTGCATCAAAACACTTTCTTACTTTTTTATAAGTTCTTCCAGTTGTATGTAGTATAATGTAGTTTAATGTAGTAGTATGTATAATGTAGTTAGTAAAATGCAGTTTTACCTTAGTCTGTCTCTTATTTTTATTTCCTGAAAACTAATAAATAATTTCTGTTGTTACATTCGCTCATTTGACAGAATCGTCCACATTTCTGTTTCCCTTAATCCGTCCTTTTAGCTAGAAAAGAAATATTTTTTTAAGCATTTATTAAAATCTTTATAAATCCTTCACTAGACCACTGCCACTAGACATAAATTGAATTTAACCTAGAATTTTACTGTAATTTAAATTGAAACTAAATTGTTGGCAAAGCTTTAAGTTTGGATTTGCATTATGCTCCCAATGTGTGAAAAATACCCACTAGTAAATGCCGTTCTTTTTGCAGGATCGTATTTTTAATTTGTACATTGTAATATCAAAAAATAGTCAAAATTTATTAAAATTTTGTGTTTATCGTAAAAATGCTTACAATTCTGCTGTTAATAATAAATTCCCTTACAATTATATTGTTAATTCATAATTTAAAAGAAAAGAATAAGGGTAGTGAAGTCTAACAGATCACTTTTACAATGTTTAATTGCTTTGTAATTCTATACTCTTAAAGCACTTCCACAATAATCAGTTGAGATCACGCAATAATCGGTCCACAAGATCCATGTAGGCAAAGGTTTCATAATTTGGAAAGCAATGATATTATGATGGCAATGTGGTTGACATCGCTCACCAGCCGTCTTTACTTCCCAAAACAAGTTACAGGCCTGTTATTATATCTGAAGCTGAGTAAACTTCAATAAATGTTAAAGAAGAAACTGAATTGGCAATGAATCTAGACTAACAAGCTTCTTCAACTAATCCATTAGCTTGTTTAGCTCGTGAGTGCATAACTGCATTCGAGAGTAAGTAATTTTAAAATTACCCAATCACGCTAAATGTTAATAGCGTTTAGAAAATTTTTAAACAGCTTATCAGCTATTTACCTTATTATTATGGTGAACTACTATTTAGTAGAACAAACACATTTTGGGTATATTTCTTTTGTTTGTGCGGTCAAAAGTCACTAGCTGTTCGAAAAAAGTTTAGTGCTAAACTTGCGGGTAACCTATGCTTTCTCTCATCATTGTTCTTCGCCAAAACGATATTCATGATTCAAGTATTAAATCATCAGAAATCCGGGTACCTTGTCACTGAGTCAGCATTGAAACAGCTATCTTCACCTTATTAAACTAAACCTCACCTTATTTAACTAAATTATGGTGAACTTCTATTTAGTACAACAAATAAATTTGGGGTATTTTTCTTTATTGTTATCGTCAAAAATCACAGGCTGTTCGAAAGAGATTTAGTTCTAAAACTCTGGGTAACCTATTCGTTCTTCGCCTAAACGATATTCAAACTTCAAGTATTGAATCATCAGCAATCCAGGTACCTTGTCACTGAGGTGGCATCGCGAAACAGCTGTCTTCACTTTTGAAACAGATGCTGACACCAAGAGCTGGATTGGCTTCAAGCCAACTCTACATCGTGCATAAACATATACATGAGCATACAATTTTCAGAAAGATAATGATGGTTGTTCTATAACACCACTGCTCCAAATCTTTTTTTACTTTTATAAAATCCGTTAATGACGTTGTGTGTTTCAGGTGGATGTGAGCATAAGCATTGTGAATATTATGCTGCTTGTGAGAGTGACTCAGAAGGCGTTGGAAGATGTGTCTGTCCTAAAAACTGTGTAAAGGTAAGACACTTAGATTACACTAATTCGTAAATAATCTTAAAATACAAGGTGGGGTTATTAATACAATGGTCCCTTTTAACAACATTAGTGACTTATCATGCTTATAAGCCATGATAATTTTAATAATAACATTAATAATCTAAGGGTAATTCTCATTACTTTTTGAAATTTCGACAAGTTGGCGATTATTACTGGGAGCAACGATGCTTTCTGATAATTAAAAAAAATAATTTAAATTATTACATACTTATTAAAATATTTTTGATACAATAATAAATAACTTACTTTGGCGTATTCAACCGGTTCCGCTCAAAAAAAATTAAAAAATAAAATAACGGTAATAAATTGAATAAAGATTAAAAAATAAAATAATAATGATGATTCTAACAGCAAGTGATCAGAATAAAATAAAAATAAAAATAACGTTAATTATGTATAGAATAATAATAATAAATAACGTTCAAAATAATCTCCCCGAAATATCTTCCAGAAACCTAGTTTGGCGAGATTTCAAAAACTTGCTAGTCAATATATAAAAAAAAGCGCCACGGGGTGGGCTATTCTGGGATTCACCCTAATCTGACGTATCTAATAATTACAGAAATATAAGACATGAATAACTATCCTTTAAGTATTTTTTAAAGTAACATCTGCCACTCGTCATGCATTTATGTACTTGAAAGTAAAAGTTTCAATGTAAAAGTAAAAATTCAGAGTGAAATGTTCTTTAACTCTGACGTTAGAGGTTAACTTTATGATTCCCACAACCTTAAGTCTTGATTCAAAGACTGTGTAGATAAAGCATTTAACATACTCTTTAAAAGATCTATACAAAACTTTTCATTTCCGAAATTTTAATAAAATGGTAAAAGAACAAGCTTAAGGACAGCAAGAGCGTTAGAATTAATTCATAAACAAAATCTATCAAAAAATCTATTCAAAGCTTTTCGTTTCCGAAACATAAGAAAATGCCAAAGGAACAAGCTTAAAGACGTCAAGAACATTAGAACTAATCTATAAAAAATATATCAAAAAATCTATTCAAAACTTTTTATTCCGAAACTTAAAAGAATACTCTTAAAGATATTAAGTAAGTTAGAATTAAACTATAAATTTTTTGGCGATTTTTATTTTGTTTTGTCCCCATATACAGGCATTCGAACATATCATTTGTGAACATTTTATAATAAAAATATGCAACAAAATTTCATGAAAATTCAGTAGATGTAAAAAAATTAAGGTAGTTTCATATAGTAAAAAAATCAAAACCCTCCCATTAGAAAGGGAAATTCTCAACCGCTTGACCACCTAGATCTCCAAACTTGAAACCTAATAACTTTCAGTTGTATATATACTTCTAATCTAACACTTAGTATCGCGAGTTCCTGTAATCATGCAATTTCTTGCTCCCAGATGGCGGTGGACGATATTGGACATTAAAAAAACATGTTTTGTTAATAGAGTTTATTTAATTTTGTAGCTTGAGACTATCTATGTGGAGCTTTGATGCCCCATATCTTTAAATTTATGTAGTTTCAGGGTCTATAAAGCTTTGCGGACATTATAACGAGCGTGTTTTGTAAAGAAAAAGATATTCAATTTTATACTTGAATGTTGTAGTCCTATAAAGCTATGATGCTCCATCTAGTGCTAGAATTGGAAACTATTTTTCGATTGTAAAAGTTTTTACTTGCTACTGAATTTTTATAAAATTCAGCTATTTAAGTAATTTTGTTCCTGGCCAAATTATTAGATGCACAAAGAGGTTCTATGCAAAATCTTAATTATCAGGTGATACTATACAACTTTATTGTTTTTACGTGACTGAAACCGGTTTGCATTTGTTTATGTTCGTGCAGCAATTGTTTAACATTGTAATGCAATACGTTAAAAATAAATACCAATAGGAAGTATATAATAAATCTCCTGAATAAAAACCCATAACATGCATGTCTAAATATAAAAGTATTGCCTATAAACTCGTGCAAAACATGTCCTTACTAAAAAACTACAGTGCGTCTAATATTTTGATCTTAATATTATAATATACTAATATAATATCTGATAATATAAATATTCTATATTTATATAATATATACTATCGCCGAATATATATCAGATATCGTCTAATTTAACCAATTGATATACGAACGTAAACAAGTGCAAACCGGTTTCAGTCGCGTAAAAACAATAAAGCTATATGTCACCTCATAATTAAGATTTTACATAGAATCTTACAGTGAGTCTTATAATTTGACCAGGGACTGCAGTTTTTGATGCAAGTTGCTTATGAATTCCTTTGACAAAGTAATTTATAAAAAAATTAATTTTATAAATTTCCCAGAATATATCTTTATCAAGATAAGGAAAATCATCAAAACTTTTAAATCTATCAACGATAAAAAAAATTTAACTTCTGATAGGAGGAAGCATTGTAATCAGCTTCTAAAACAATGATTCAAAACATAATCCTAGTTTTCTTTTAATTTTTTTTAATTAATGGGATTACGGAAATAGAATGAAGTTTCTTTTTTAGTATTTTTAATTTTTTATCGTTTAAGAAAGATGAGGTCTTTTTAGTTAATCACCTAATTTATCGTAAAGTAACAGCAATCAATAAAAATGAGGGTTCATTTCAACACGTTCTCATTATAATTTTAGAGCTGATTAAAAGTGCTCGTTATGGGAATTTTTTTTAAGTCTTGGTCGAAATTTTGCATAAAAGATAGTTTTTTCCTTTGACTATTGGTACATGAGTTAGTTAAAAATAATGAAAGAATAAATGAAAAGAACAGCCAATTAACATCGCTTTTTAAACTTTTTTCTTTTAAAATCTTATAAAAAATATACTGCAGCTTAACTATATTTGCTAAACAATGTTAATAAAAGTTTTTTTTTGTCTTTTTCGGTTTTCTTCTTAATTGCTTCTGGATTTGAATACTTAATGTTTTTTTATTCATACTTAATATTTTTTCAAAAATAGATCCAATTTTTATTTCATTTTCAAATTAAATTTTTAAATTTTTTTTTTGAAAAAAAATCTATTTAAAACTTTTTGTTTCCGAAATAAAAATAATAATGTTGGGTATATTTTGCACAATTTGCTTGCACAAAATGATAAAGTGTAGTCAATTACAAAACTAATACCCTTCTTTGGATCTATTTCTGTTTGTGTAAATCAACCTCACAGCCGTAAAAAGAAAACAAAAATCTGCTTTGTGCGTGATACTTTTTAATCGTATCGTTCGTAAAGAAAAAACGTATTGACTGTAACTTGTTATGCAATGATAGCAATTATTCCAGGTGGATTCTGTTATCTGTGGAACAGATGGTATCACTTATAAAAATGAATGCGAGATGAGAGTCGCGGCATGTGAAAAAGAACAATATATAATGGTTGGTTCTCGAGGGCCGTGTGGTAAGTAAATATTTCAAACTCATTTCCGACTGCAATGTTTAAGTAAAATGAAGTTATTTATGAACAAATGCCGGCCAGGTAGCCGAGCGGTCAGCGTGCCTGACTGTGAAGGCATTGGTTGCGGGTTCGAATCCCGTTCAGGCCATGGACGTTTCTGTATTGTTCTCTGTTCTGTGATGTGTGAATGTGGCCCACCCTATAAACGGGTCTCTGTGGCGTGTGTAATGTTGCTCGCCTCCGTGACTCCGAGGGTTCACAGGAGCCCACTGGGTAACGTTAAATGAGCAACACTTCCGGCTTCTTTCGAGGTGAACAACAAAGGTTCATTGCCTGCCGTAAAAAATATGAGCAAATTAAGCTATTTTTATGTATAAAGTAATGTGTAAATTATAAACAATGTGTAAGAGAAAGAAAATGTGTAAGTTATAGTCAATGCGAAATTAATATATAAATTATGGACAATTTACACGTTACTTTTTTACACATTGAGCTGCCTTTTGACCACCATTCAGTTTTAAACAAATGAGTTATATAAGGAGTATATATGAGAAATATTATTTCACATTACCTTTAAAATTGTTAATATAACATCAAAAAAAAATGTTTTGATTTGTTTAAGGAACTTTATTTGATATGCATGGTTGTCTGAATGAGAATATCTAATTATCTAAGCTGATCGAATACATCTTGTTTTGGTGATTTATCTCATTGTCTAGTGGTTTATTCAGCGGAATAATGTCCTTTCTTGTATCTTTAAGGATTGGTATAAGACTTCCACGTAGTGCTGCCCCACCCAAAGTCAAAAGATATACCAATTTTTTTGAGCATTTTTGCCTTGCAATTGAAATAACATTTGGACCTGAGCTATCCAGTCGCCACCTTTTGTTAGAAAGTGTTACTGAAAGTTGCCCAAATGTTATATTAAGTTTTATAATGATCATTATAAAGTGATCACTCTGTGATGTCATTTTTCAGAAGTGCATTTAACATAGAATTGTTCAAAAGATTACTTAAATTTACGACATTTAAATACTTTTTTATGCATATTTTGACAAACATAAATATAGAACTTTCACATTCCTTTTTCAGTATTGCACCTGATAAGGTAAACGCATATTAGCCAATTAAAATTGTTGATATAATATGTGCTTTGTTGACCTTAGTTGCCAAAATTTAAATTTGAAGGTCGCACAATGGGTTGATCGTAAGACGCGGTTCATCCTCAGTAAACTACCGAAGTCAAGCATCACTGGCAGTGGTCAGTGAGTGAGTGGGTAACCACTTTGATCAGCCTCCGAAGTGACTGAAGATGTGCGGTATCGGTTCTAGTTTAACCGGTTTTCAATAAAGGGCTTGATTTCGCGGATAGGTTATCAAGCTATCAATGAGGAAAGCTATCTCCTCTGCAGAAGATTAAAGTTGTAATGGCATGTCTTCGGATCATTTTCAGGGATGTTTTCCAGATAGTCACCTATAGATTATTGTGCAGTTTTAGTGTGACGTAAATAAAGCACTACTGAAATTTTAAGATTAACATGCAGTATGTAAGAATCTTTCTCTGTCTAAATAGGACCCATAAATGGAATGGGAAATAAATGGGACCCCCAGATTTAATGTCAGAAATGCTGAAATATATTATTAATTTGAAACATTTTATATCCTCTCCATCCTCATCATGAACTGTTTCTTTTAATGCATGCATTCCTTAATTCTGTGTTTTAATTAATATTTTTAATGCTTTATTCATTTACATATTCATAGAAGATCCTTCTAGGCAGAAATACGAAGAGATAAATACTTTATTTGAAACCCTTTTGTGATAAATATTCTTTAGATCTGTGCCAAAATGTTCACTGCAAGCACGGTGCTCGATGTGAGAATGGTCACTGTATTTGTGCCTTTGATTGCCCTGATGCTTATGATCCGGTGTGTGGCAGTGATGGAACGACCTACAGAAACGACTGTGAAATGAGGCGTGGTTCGTGCCAGAAGGGGATCAATTTGGCGACCGTCTTCTTCGGAGAATGTGACGGAGCACTTGTTCGATTCAGGGAAGGTAATCTATTTTCTATTGATCCCTATACCTGACGCAGCTCTCATCTTAATGTGCACTTGAAAGATCTTTGTTGTTTCTGAAAGTGTCCTAAGCATTTTAGATGCCAAACTTTGTGGTTCAATCTAGAAATCTTAAATTCAAGAAACATGCTACTTTTAATTTGAAGAATTTCAAAAAATATGAATGCATAACTCCTCTTTTAAATAAAATGTATAATTGCGATGAAATATAATAAAATAAACGAAAATTTCGAAGTCGTATATTTTAGTTTCATTTGAGATAATAAATAAAATGCATATATTATTTGTACCAAAAACATATTTTTTGTTTAAAATAGGGTTGAATGATGGATTTAGAAAATAATTTGAGCTTTTTTTTTGTATCAGCTGGCATGATCAATCTATTTATTCTCGATCCCTTCCTTGCTTGCATCAACCGCATTTGATGCTAGATTTTGTTAGGGTTTAAAAAGGATTGCCATTAATAATAAACACAACAACAGAAATATATGTTTTTTTTAACGTTGAAACTGAATTAATCTTAAATTTAAATCTAACAATTCATATACAGATGTTCCGTTCATATTCACATACAGATAAGAATGGGTTTGCCCTATAAATGGGCTATGACATGCGTATGGCTAAAGTCGTATTCTTGGACATAAATAGCGCCACTGAAAAAAAAGAAACACACCCTCTGCCATAAATTCGCTTGGTTTCGCCTAGCTGGCTTGCTGGTATTTGGCAAGCGACATCGAAAGAACAGCAGCAATACTTTAAAATAATAGATTTAAAGGTAAAAATGCGATATTATGAGAATATTTTGTGTTTCAGTTAATGATCAATTGATATTTTGGTTTTTCGTGTCTAAATCAAATAATCTCGGTATTATCAGATTAATACTGATTGTTCGAAAACAGTATGCTGAACACTTAATTGACAATTAATACTTCGCGTCAATTTTGGTCTACCGTAATAATGATACGGGTATAATATCATAGAAATTACGTATTAAATAAAGGGAATGATTCGATAATATTTTATATCTCTGTTAATGAGTTGTTTACAATTTACTGACACGTTTCTGCACCAAATTTATCTAAGCTTTCTACCTTATTGGAATTAAAATTGCGCGTTAGTACTGATTATTATGTATGATTTACTCTTGCATTTTTGCATGAAGTAGTAAACAATCAATGATTCATTAAAGTAATTGATAAAAATTAATAGCTTTTCTCTTTAGATCAAATTTCAGATCTATCATAATTACCACTTAGCTCATGTGCTGTTTTCAATATATTTTTCACTTTAATTGCATATAACTCATAGTTTCATTATCTGCTTTTGGCTTGAACTTATATTTTAGTCATTAAATCTTTTCGGTGTGAATTAATGATCATCTAATATTTTTATTATTCGCGTTAAAATCCAAGTCTATTAAACAGATTTAGATAGATTATTTATCTTAACTAAACAAAAGCAAATTTAATGCTTAGAGAAAAGCATTACATTGCAAAATACAGTCAAACCTCGCTATAGTGAACCTTCAACGAACCAAAATTATTGTTCACTATAACCGGTACTTCACTACATCCGTTCCACAAACAATTTTAACTAATGGTTCCAAGCTCCCCCCTTTTATTAAACATTACTTAAATAAATGACCCATGAAATGAATTACAAAAATGACTGAAAAATAATACGTAGTAACACAAAATGCATTGACTTTTATTTTTTATTACTCTTCGTCTTTCGTACAAAAAGAAAAAAAAATTTTTAGCTGATGAGCAATCCTCAGCATCAGATAGGGAAAAAATTCCCGACTCTCCGATAATCCCTGAATTTATTTTATTCCACTTTTTAAACCTGTCTAACTAGCCATTCGAGTACATAACAGTTGTCCCACCCAATCGCTTAGCCAATTCATCAGCTTTGACTTGAAGCACTTAGCTGGACATTTCATAGTCCAGATACTAGAATATTGTAGCTTCTTTGACTGCTGAACCAATTCCATAATGCTATTCAATAAAGAAGCAAACGAGAACAAATGCTTAATGCTACATTCCATGCTATAGATGGTTTTAAAAATTGGTATATGTACATATTTATTTTGAAGTAGAAATTTCAAAATAATTACAAAAAAATGAAGAAAATAAATTAGGGGAAGACAGAAAAAAGTTCATAATATTCAACTTCCTCTCTTTTTTTGGTTCACTATATCCACAAAAAATAACATTATACGTGTGCAGCAGGGCACAGGAAAGAACAGTTTGTTCACTATATCCGGGAGTTTACTACAAGCCGCGTTCACTATAGCGGGGTTTGACTGTAAATAAATTTTTAATTTTCTGTGTTCAAACTGCTTCCTGTTTCTCTTAATTTCAGATCATGAAGTGAATACCCATATTTTAACATGTGAAATGGCCAATTGCCGATATGGAGGTGTCTGTGATCATGATCCAAGGGGTCATGTCCACTGTATTTGTACATTCCATTGCTCTCCACTAAGAGATCCAGTGTGTGGCTCCGATGGACGAATGTATGAAAATGAATGTCGTCTGAGAGAGGAGGCTTGTCGGTTACAGCAGAACATCCAGATAGTTGCTTCAGAAAACTGCGGAGGTAAAGATTTAAATTCTTGCTATAAAATTTTATTTTGAAGGGTGAGTTTGCAGTGAAGGACAGAACCCCGAATCTGCATAGAGGGCGTTATATTTCACAGCGGAATTGGATCACTCAGAATTGAAAGACTAGATTACTTTATAAAATCTCGTTACAATACTTTCTAAGAGTAACATTATAAATGAAAATAAGTTTGCGAGGTTAATAAAAGTTTGTTCCATTACTTTTAGTAAAAGGCGGTTAAAGATCAAATGGCTTCCCATGCCACAAGACAAACTTTTTTTTATAGTTTTAATTTTTTTTTTTTTTTTTTTTTTTTTTTTTTTTTTTTTTTTTGCTATTACTTATCTAAATTTTGATTGGTCAGAATCTGCCATTATTTTCCTCACCTTAATCGCTTCCCTAACCAATTTTTTTGAAAAAAATTCCAAAAAATCAACATATTTTTTTATTTAATTAATAAATACATGGAAATAAAACAAAACATAATACACAAATTCTAAGTTGAAATTTAAATTTTTTTATGTGTGAAAAATCTATAATTTACCATCAGATTACTATCCTAAATTTTCTCGGGTTAATGAAAAAACTTAAATATTAGTCTTTGTATAGGTTCACATCTTCATCATCTAAAGATTCATCTGCATTAATTTCACTTTCGCCCGCAAACGCCATTTTTTTACTAAAATCCATTTTTTTACATTTATTTACTACGTAAAATCATCAACCATCGTATATCTAATTTTACAAAACACGCCTGCAGCCCCACAAATAGCAAACCTCCCCAACAAATATTGTGACTTCCGATCACGACAGATTATTATTATTATTTTTTGTTTTGGTTCCGACCGAATAGAAACGTGATGAAACAAAATGTATTGACGAATTCTGCTATGCGGGATAATAAATGTTTGCAATATATACAGACCCGACTTAACTCAGGATAATCAGGAAAGCGGTTAATATTAAAATGTGTCCGTTTTACCTAAATTTTTAAGAAAATTCTCGTCAAAGGCATTTTGGTATCTTCTACATTCTTATTTTTACATAGTAATTGATCATAACTAAGCAAAAATACAAATATAAAGTATTGCAGGCAAAAATTTGAGATAGTATTTGAATTTGATCGAGATACAAATTTATTTTTGGAAATGATCGACGGTATAATACGCAAGTACCTAAAAAGATAATATCGCAAATAATATGTATATAACGAAAATTATTGATTGCGACATTATTGTAAATGGTGATAACTGTGTGAGTTCAGTAAAAAAAAATATTGCCCAATGTAAAAATAATGTTACTTAGTTCACTTGGAACTCTATACCAAAATATTGTTCAATATCTATATATTTTAACAATGTATTACGATTTTTAAAATTGTTTTTATTAGTTATTGGGACCAATGTTCGTGTTGGCAACATCCTGGAAAAGCAGTTACCAACACATTTATATATCAACTACAGTCCCTGGCACTTGTTCACATTCGTGTATCCATTGTTTAAATTAGACAATATATAATATAAATTTCTCGATTGGATAAATTAAATTAGGCGATATATTATGTAAAATATAGAATATTTATTATATCAGGCCTTATATTAGTATATTATAATAATTAGATCAAATTATTAGACTTACTGTAGTCTTTTAATAATGACATGTTTTGTACGAGTTTATAGGCAATACTTTTATATTTAAACATACATGTAATGGGTTTTTATTCAAGAGATTTCTTTTATACTTCCTATTTGCATTTATTTTTAACGTATTGCATTACAATTTTAACTGATTGATACACAAACGTAAACAAATGCAAACCGGTTTCAGTCACGTTAAAACAATAAAGCTGTATAGTATCACCTGATAATTATAATTTTACATTGAATCTTATAGTGCGTCGAATAATTTACCCAAGGACTGCAGTACCAAAAAAAAAAATTTCATTAAATTAAAAGTCTACAATATATGTAGAATGTATTATCATTAAGTAGCAAGAAAAAAGTCTATAAATATTTATATATCATGAACTATGTATATTTTTTTAAACCACCACCGCAAGTAATTTTATAAACCATATTCTTCGATATCGGAATAGTATTCCGATTTTAACATTTTACCAAATTTACATTTATATTTCCAGTTATCTCAGTCAGCGTTTGCTTGCAATCTCCATTCGGCTGTTGTCCTGATGGTAGGACGTTAGCTTTAGGACCGAATGCAGCTGGCTGTCCTAGTAAGTACACAGATATAAAGTTTATTTTATTGAATCGACATATTTGAATTTTTATTGAAAATTTAAATATTTTTTCACGAAATTGAGTTTCTTAAAATCGCGAGGTATGGAAAATCGTCGAAAAACATGTAAAACTTTATAGTCCGTGGGTTTATAGTTCTAAGACGGGGAGAGATTTGATTGGCAAATGCAAATAAAATCTGATATTGGTTGAATATATTATTGGAATTCGCTTTGATATTTTAAATGTATAAGAATTTTTGTTTTGATAAGTCGATGTGTTGAAATAATGTTTAGCTGGGAAAAAATCAAACATTAAAAAGTTTTCAGCATATCTAAATATTCCACTATATTAATAAAACAATGAAACTTGTGGTTGTAGAAAACAATATTGAAACCAATTTAAAAAAATTTAAAAAATACTTATTGATGAAGCCGCGTGTACCAAGAAAAGCAGATTGGAATTTTTCAAATGCCACTTATATATAATTTTAATGGAAGGCTTGTGTTTCTTTTTAGATTTTAGCACTACTTTATTTTCTCTTTTATATCCTTATTTAACTATAACTTTACTGCAACCATTTCTTTTACATTAATTATAATTTTTTTATTGCATTATCATGTTTACGGAGCCAGGTATTCGCAGTTGCTGTTACCATACAAACTAGATACCCTAACTCTTTTTCTGTCTCTTATTTAGATCTATTTAAATACCGCTTGCTTACTGTTCCTGGTTTATTTAGAATGAAAGAAAAACTGAATTCAGGCATAATTTTGAATTTTTAATCTCCTTTCCAATTTAAAAGTTTTTCAAAAGATGCTAAAAACTCTTTACTGATATATATATATATATATATATATATATGTANAAGACCACCTATATATATATATATATATTAAATGAAAAAATAAGAGTATCTGTGTGGTTTATTTTATACGGTTACATTACGGTTAAAAACCAACATAAAATCTTATAATAAGTCTTTTAAGTTAAAATTTTTAGTCAATATATATAAAACTCAGCTGCACAACAGCGCATGTAGGTTTAAGGCCTACTCTGTCCATTCCATGTTTCTTGACAATGGGCTCTGGGATGCGGGAGCAGATGTACCGATTAGATGGTCAGCTAGACGTGAAACCTCCAATCTTTCTTCCATAAGCACACTTGGCACTCATTTTATCAATCAACTGATGAGATAAAAGGCTGTGTCAACCACTCCCGGTCTGAGAATAGAACCTCGTACCTCTGCTAAGGGAGAGCGAAGCTCCACCTCTCAACTATCGGACTTATCAGTATAAACAGGACTTGTGAAGAAAAATAGCTATTGATCACAACATATATATATATATAGTTATGCAACAAGCTATGTTACTATGTCGCTGGTTTTGTGTTGCTGTACTTTGAAATAATTTAAGCAAAATTACTTTTATTTTATATTTTAATGTATATCTTAAATAAAAATATCTATACTTTATTTCCTATTATTTATTGTTTCCTATCAGTTTTTTAAATAAATGAACATTACAACAATTTGTCTCTAATATATGCATTTAAAGTATATATTAGACACGTTTATAAGAATAATCTGACTATCGATCCACTAATTATAAGCAAAAAGCAGAAATTATTTGTATTTTGTATTTTAATTTACTTTAAATAAAAATATTCATAATTGATTTACTTTTCATAAGTTATAAATAATTTGATAGTATTTAAAATTTATTTATTTAGTTCATTTTCCATGATGTTTTTTTTAAAAAAAATTGGCATAACAATTAATCCCTCATATATTCATTAAAATTACAAACGAGATACGCTAAAAAGAACGATTTAGCTATCACAGCTACAATAATATAACAAGCAGCACATTTACGTTAGGATCTTTGTGTCGTCGTAATTTAACTTATTTGAACAAAATTACTTATATTTTATATTATATTATATATTTTGAATAAAAATAACCATACTTTATTTAATTCTCATTACTATTTGCGTACAATTTTTTAAAAATGAACATCATAACAATTAATGAACATATATTCGTTAAAATCATAAACTGAACGCGTTTTTAAGAACATTTTGGGTATTGATCCAGCAGTTGCACAATAGTCAAAAATTATTTATATTTCAATTTATTTAAATAAAATTATATTAAATATTTATTTTTCAAAATTTTTTTTTAAGGAAGCGCAATAACTTATCGCCCATCTATTCATAAAAAGTTGATACGATGAGAAGTCGATTTTGATATCGATGCTATCAATGCCTTAAAAAGAATGATTTAGCTATTAATTACGTAATTACGCAATAAACAGCACAACTATGTTCCGATTTTTCTATTGTCGTATTTTAATTTAGGTGAACAAAATAATTCATATTTTATATTTTAATACATAATTTGAGTCAAATTAAATTATTAAAAATTATATAAATGAAATTACATAAGATATGCTTTATATAATTTTCATTATAATTTGCTGTTTTCAAATTTTAATAAACTGAGTATGACTAACAATTTGCCTTCGATATATACTTTTTTTTAAAAAAATTAAACTGGAAATATTTAAAAGAGAAAAAATAATAATCAATTTCGCAGCAGGCGACGGAGCTATGTAGCTAATTTTGCGTCGTCGTTCTTTATTAGATAATATCAAAAGCACAGAGGAAAAAAAAGAATTCATAATCACGTTAACTTATGCGAGAACAAAATCTTTATTAAATTAGAGGATGATGTTGGGAGAATATTATTTTTTTATTGAAGTCAAACATTTTTCATAAGCAGTATTTAAAAGAAATGCCGGTATTTGACAAATCCCAGAGTGAGTTAAGTGAAACAATTTCGCTGCGTCAGATCTATTTAGAATAATTTTATTAAAATTGTGAAAGGAAAATTTTTAAAATTTTGAAAAAGCGTTTGATATAAATATCAGATATTTTTGCCTTAATCCATGCGTGCTGATTTTTAAAGGCATAACTTTGAATGAAAAAAAAATCGTCTAGACTTGAGAAATGGATATTTTGAGAAGTCTAATTGCTTATTTCAATATTTCAATATTATGGCAATCAATGAAAATTTAAGATTCCTTAAAAAAATTAAGAGCAGTATCAAGATAAAAAAGGATATATATATATATATATATATATAATTTTCTGTATAANATATATATAATTATAATTTTTTTTAATACCTAATTCCGAGTAAACTAAGGAGTGACAATTTTATTTCCAGGTTGGATGTTCGTTGCTCTTTTTTTTCTTCTTTTTTACTAAACACTGTAGTAACATGGTCAAATGCGCATTTTTCGCTATAGGTACATGCAACTGCAATCGCCTAGGGTCCTATGGTGAAACCTGTGACTCAATCTCTGGACAGTGTGAGTGCAAGACTGGAGTCGGCGGCTTAAGATGTGATCGATGCGATCCCGGCTATTGGGGACTGCATAAAATTGTTGCGGATGGAAATGTTGGTTGCCTTCGTAAGTATTTCTTTTCAGCCATTGATAATGGAAAATTTTAAAAATGAGCTATTTATGCAGGAGATATCGATACTTTTCTTCTTTACGACCCCTATTAATATTCACTTTAAAAAGTAACAGTATCTCTTCTACCTATTTGATGTCAAATGAATGTATGCAGTTTAGTAGCAAATAGTGATACAACATTTTGAAATTCGAACTGTTAAATACGCAAAAGATTTTGATCTCTGCAAACATTACATTTTTGGAAGTAGATGTTAATCTATTCCGTATCTTAATGATGTCGCTGCTTTTGGACTATTCATTAAGATAAGAAAAGATTTCTGCTGACTTTCAAAACTGCTGTATTGGTAGGGAAAGGTTTTTTCGCTCATTTTTTAACCTGAAATAAAGTTCAGTTCTAGAATTTTTATTAATCTGTTCAGTGGTCAGAAGTAGCGTGCAACAACTTGTGAAATTACTGCAATCGCTATTTTTTCCGTAGTTTGTAGTGCTAATTTTTACAGGAAGTAGTGTAGTGAGAAGTGCAATACAAAAAAAAAAAAAAAACAGTAATTTGTAGCGATTCTATGCAACTACTTTTAACGTTATTTAAATAAAGAAAGAAAGTTCAAATGCAAAAGATAAATTTAAAACCCAATTAGTGCAAATCCCTCGAGGATCCTTCAATGTACTCTGTGAGTCAATGCACTCAGTCTTCTGTGACTGAGCGTTAATAAAATCTATTTCTGATGCTCAGAAATATCGGTGCAAAACACAATTTTGGTTAATAAAACAACCCAAAAATGTTATTTAAACCGTTTATTTGGTAATTTTTTCTTTCAGACGGTAAATACTTACTGGAAATTCTGGTTTTCAAAATTTTAGCTCTAATTACCAAATATTTTGAAACATATTCAAAACTGAAAAGTAAATTTGACAGAATAAATTCCATGCTCAAAGGTATCCAGATAAAATTAACAAATTTTACCATTTTTACCAAATTCCATCACATATTTTAAAATCTTATTTTAATGTTAATTTTACTAAAACCATTACCTAAGTTATTCGGTAAAAATTAGCGATATTTTTGGTGTTCCCATCGAGCCAGAAACACGGTAAATTTTATCCTATTCTGAAAGTTTTGACTACGCTCAGTGTACGTTCAATCAACATGCAACAATCTATTTAATTTGAAGTACGATTTTTCTTTGTGCAAATAATTGAAATTTAACCGTTTTATAAATTTCGAAATAAATTTTTCTTGTTGTTCTGGTAACAATTATATAAACAGAATAATTGCTACCAGAAATCTGTAACAAATAAGTTTGTTTCAAAAATATGTAATTAAGTAAGTTTAAGCTGGTTTTCGAACAATTTATTACGAAAAAGTGTTATAATTAAAATCGTTCTACACTTTCCTTATTTCTTCGCCCTAGGATAGCCATTTATTTTCAATTAAAGAATGCTTTATAGCGGAAGATAATACCTTTGAGAATCAAATACGAGAATAGGAAATAAATAAAGACAAATCATTGCACCTTTAGCTTCTTCATTATTTAAATATTATGTTATATTGCAGATATGCGTGCATAAATTTGACGAAATAAATAGTGTAGTACACTACAGGGAGTAACATTTTTTTATTTTGTGTAACATCTTATCTTATCTCAGAAATGATTTAAAGAATAGACGATGACTAGTCAGATTATTCTGGGTTAAAATAATTCTTACTGGAAATTAATGTTCCTTTTGTTAAAAACTAGTTCCAGATGATAATTAAAAATTCTCAAAATATCACCAGAAACGGTTAAAAACGAAACTAAGGTGGAATTTGTTTTGTTTCGTAAACTAAATTTTTCTGTACAAAAATTACTTTTATGCGTTTTGAGTTCGATGCTTTATATATATACTAGCTGACCCGGCAAACGGTGTTTTGCCATATGAATTTTTTCTAGAGTATAAAAATATATCTTATTTATTGTAAATGTGTGCGTATGTGGTATATGAGTGGAAGAGGCATGAAGCGCTGTGAACGATGACGGAATGTGAAAGTAACAACACACCAAATAATATTTTTTTTTAAATTTATTGCAACTTTTTCTTATAAATTATATATACAACGAATTCTGAAAATNTTATATATATAGAAGTGTATAATATTTTTTGTCATTCCATCTTTAGCTAACACAAATAAACTGGATGGTTTGCTCACTCGAGAGTATGCCACGTATCTGTGCGAAAAACATGGTGTGTTCAAATTTAAGGCGCAAACAGTCATTGTTTGGCCTTATCATTGCGAATGCCAATCTAATGTGGAACTGAATGCGTTTACATTGAATTGGCACATCTGTGGGGGCATAATAGGGGGCATAGTAGGGATTGGCACATAATAGGGATTCGTGGAAGTAATACCCTGCAAAAAATGACCAATAGAAATCAATAAAAAAAATGTATTGATCTGTACGGGGAAATGGAACACTGATATCAGTAGAGTAGATCAGTACAATAGACTGGTCATGATATATTGATATCAGTAGAGTAGGTCAATACACTGTATTGATCTAAATCAGTCCATTCTACTGATTTAGACCAATACAGTGTATTGACCTACTCTACTGATATCAATATATCATGACCAGTCCATTGTACTGATCTACTCTATTGATATCAGTGTTCCATTTCCCCGTACAGATCAATACATTTTTTTTTATTGATTTCTATTGGTCATTTTTTGCAGGGTCTC